CTCAAATGATCTAACCCCCAGAGCTTACTGTAACAGCATTGTCAAAAAGACATTAAGAGTTGTTAACCCAAATTTGCAAAGCTTCTTTTTTGGTAACATTGTACTGCTAACTAGGGAATGCAAAACCTTTGCCAGACCAATTCTCGAATTCAGCTCGTCTGTCTGGAAACCACACTGTATATCGAATATTAATATGATCGAGCGGGTCCAGAGATGTTTCATAAGAAGAGTACTCCACTCCTCTGCTGACAATAGAATCCTTTATGCCATCAGGCTCGAAATTTTGGGCTTGGATAATCTGCTGTCAGACCTAAGCATAGTACACAAAAGTCTGCTACAACGTCCTACCTGTAAATGACTACTTCAGCTACTTCAGTTTCAACCACAATAATACACGGGCAAACAATCTCTACAAACTCAAGGTAAACCGCTCCAAACTCGATTGCAGAAAATACAACTTCAACAACAAAGTGGTCAACGCCTGTAATGCTCTACCCAGCTCCGTTGTTATATCCTCAAACCCTCACAGCTTCAACCTTAAACTGTCAACTGTGGACCATTCCTAAGAGGTCTGTAAAGAGGGCGTGCATAAGCGCACCAACGTGCCTACCATCCCTGTTCTATTGTCCCCATTTACTTGTATTCATTTCCTCTGTTCATGTTCACATTCATACTTAGACCTGCTATCCTGCACATTTGACAAACTAACAAATAAAAATAAATAAATCAACAATCAACAATCTATAATTGACAGCTATTTCTATTAGAAATTTACCTCTGCTGTTAGATCTTGTATCATCAGGTTATTTATGCTATTGTATTATTATTATTAGTTGAATAATAAAAATACAATAGTATAAATAGCTTTTCTGCCTGGAAAAGCAATTTATTATTAAACAATAGGGTATAGATTTAGAAATAAAATGTTTAGTGAGCATGAAGAATAAGTTTGCCAGTAATATCTGATAGAAGAAATAGGAAAATGGTTGTAATAAAGAACTGTGGAAAGAAAGAAGGGGAAAAAAATGCATCTTGAGCCTCTATCAAATACCCACCATGGCCACGCCCATCCCCGGGCACACAACCCTGGCACTCGGAGGTCAAACACAATCCTGATTTGGCCCTCAATGTAATCGAGTTTCACACCCCTGGTTTATATGATAGGATTATAAATATAAACTTTATGAGAAAGAAACAAGAGAAAGCTTTCTTGTTATATAAGCCCATATGCAATATAGTCAAACATATTAAATAAAGCATGATGTTTTCTATCTTGTTAATATGGAAACATTATGAAGGGTTTTATAATGAATAAAAGAAAATTTAAATGTCATTTATGATTGTATAAGTTCCAGTAAACATTGGTAGTCCAGAAACCAACCTCATACTAACACAAGAGGTTCAGAGGAAAATGCAATTCTCATGAGGTCAAGCAATCCTCATGACGTCAAGCAAACTCCTATAATGGTTGAAATGTTTAGTTTGAAGTACAGCACCAGAAAACACATTTCTACAAGTATATGCTGTGCCCATCATATTTAATTAAAGGAAAATCACAAGAAAACAGATAACTACTATAAGAAACAAATGCATATGTGCTTTCAAGCATTTTTTTCCTGCAACTATTCTTAGAAAATTCAGGTGTAAAAGCTAAGAGATCAGGCAAATTGGAATTAGAGGCCCAGTTTCTGTTTTATGTCAGCACTATTGGTGGTGAACTCACCTACCTGATTGCAGCTTTTGATTCATCCAATGAACTCATGTTCTACTGATGTTTCCAATAAATTTTAGTGATCTCCTTAGCATAGGGCAGGGATGGCGAACCTATGGCACGCGTGCCAGAGGTGGCACACAGAGCCATTTGTCAGGGCACGCAAGGCGTTCAGTCTTTTTTAAAGCCATTTTTCACCCTCCCCAGGCTCCAAAGGCTTTATAGGCGCAAAAAACCGGACCTATAAGCAAACTGGAAGTTTGGGAACGGACTTCCGGTTTGCTCAAAGGGTTGTTTTTTGCCCTTCGGGGGCTTCAGGGAAGCCTCCTGAAGGTCCCTGAACCTCTAGAGGGCCTCCAGGGAGGTGGGGGGGGCTGTTTTTGCCCTCCCCAGGCTTCCATAAAAGCCTCTGGAGCCTGAGCAGGGTGAAAAAAGCATGCAAAAATGGGGGGAGCGCCTCTCATGCGTGCATGCACACTGGGGGGGGGGTGTTGCATGTTGCATTATGGGTGCAGCACACTCGCGCAGAACTCCCCTGTGCTCCCCCTCTTATGGCACGGAAGCCAAAAAAGATTCGCCATCACTGGCATAAGGGAATTATAGCAAATACATCTGGAGAACATTAGGTACCTATCCCCTTTTTAAGACCCGTGGAAAATTTAATCATGTGAAATATGATTTTTATAATAGTATAAATTAGCCCATTAAAAGCTATTTGAGAGTTATTAAGTTGTGGGGTCCTTGGTGCTCTCTGAGTTTGATGCAAGTGCTGATGTTACTTAGTTCGGTAACGAAACATCTGCAAGAAAACCACCAAGCTCAGAAACCCCACAGTTCAACCTGAGTTACAAATATTATCTTCTATCTGTAGTTATTCAAGTAGCACCTTAGCAACCAATTGAGATTCTTCATTCTTTTCCACAAGGAGCTATTGGAAAAATGAATCAATTCACTGTAAAAAAATTAATTTAGCTGCATTTGCCTAAGTATGGCAACACATCTTCCAGCTTCAGGTTACTTTAATTTGGCTGTAACTAACTTCAATATACTTTTATAGTATATTTATATACTATAAAACAAACAAACACAGATAATTATAAGAGATTTCATTACCTATAACTGAAATATTTATTGTAAGAAAATATATGGGAGGTTTAACATCATTGGTGAAATGAAAACCTCATGCATTAATATGTCTTTTTGAGTTCAACTAATGTCAGATGTACAGCATTTTGGAGTAGAAAAGACAAATAATTTCTATCCACATATCAGGATGCAAATACAGGTGGTCCTCATTCAGTGATTGTTCAAAGTTATGGCAGGAGTTAATGAATGGGTGTGGCTGTCAGTGTCCCTATGGTAACATAATTTCAATTTGGGTAATTGAAAATTGGTGTGCAATTTTGATAAAGCATTATATAGTAATTGCATTTCAACATATACTGCTTCACAGTGCTTTTACAGCCCATTTTAAGCTGTTAAGTAGCTTGCAGTACTGCATTCTAATTGCTTTGCCACCATGGCTCCTATATGTTAACCATTTGCAACCTTCGGTTCCAAGACGCCATTGGAAACCAGCAGGTCATCTCAAATGGCAAGCATCATCACAGGGCACTGCTTCCATGTGGGATTTGCATAGTAAAAACTAAAATTACTGCAACTGCCACTGTAAGTCACTACTGTCACATGACATCAACTTTATGATTGCACTGTTTAGCAACAGAATTACCCGTCCCAATTTCCATCAATAATCAAGGACTACCTGAAGCACCTTTTGACAATCCATTAAACTCATATGTCTTTTCCTGTGGTCAAAACCAGCTGCAGAGACCAGCATACAAATGCCGTGAAAAGATTCAAATGCTTTAAAAAACTGCCAACAGATGATATAGAAGCACTCCTAAGCCCCACCTCTTTGTATCTACAGTTATAAAGCTAAGTGCCTAGAAATATTTTTTAAAAAGGAAAATATTTCCACTAGATTCATTCGTTTTCAATTTCATCTCTATTAGAGACTGCTCAAATCATCTATTACAGGAGAGTCAAGCTCATATTATCACAGGGGCATCATGTGATGTATTGGGACTTTTCCCCCCTTTGCTAAACTGGGTGTGGACATTGTCAGTGTGTGACGCATCTGGCCCACAGGCTGGGAGTTTGAAAGCCCTGATCTATTAGGATGCTCAAACTATCAGACAGCATTATTCAAGGGATAATGCAATTTGCTGTAAATATGAAATTCAAAACTGATTTAAAAACTCAATTCTGCTTTCTGTTTTTAATAAAGTTCACATCCACCCTGTGAAGAATTCCTATTATTTAAATGTAGTTGTTTTAAAATGTATTTGGATTCAGTTTTACCATTGCTTGATATGTGCATTTGGTTTCCATCATTCCCAGTCAATACAGCAAGTTTCTCTGCTGGCAGAGACTAATGGAAATTGCTGTTTAGAGTGTAATTATAGATGTATAACTATTATTCTATACTAAAGATGGAAAAGCATTTTTCATTCAAAATACAATATAGTTGTTTAAAGAGACAAACATAAAACAGGTTTTTTCTAGATTTTCATTGCCATGGCATGCTGTTAATATTACATGTATTGAAGCAGATAAGAAAAAATACAAATCTTCATCTGTGTATCTCCCCTCACGCCCCATATATAGATCCATTCTTACTGTTTGAGGATCCTAACATAATTTCTTATGTGAAATTACACATAACATACACAGCACATATTTAAAATAATGATAAAGACAAAAAATTAAAGGTTTGTTTTTAAGAAATGATGCTATTTAACCAAGAGGTTATATTCTCTACACATTGTAAAAAAAAATGGTACAAAGCAACTAAGAGAAAAGGCAACTGAGTCACATGTTTTTAGCTTCATGAAGCTGGAAAGGTCATTTAAGTTACTAAATCTAAATCCCAAATACCTGGAGGAATCCAAATTAAGGCATTCCTGACAGATGGCTACTCAGCCTTTCTTAAATATGTTCACGGGAAAAAAATTACTTCATTAAACTCTGCTTTTAGTTTTTTAATATTCCATTTCAATCTCTCTTCCTATAACAAAAGCATAATTTCGCTACTTGCAGCATGGAATGAAGATCTAAACATCTTCTGTCTAGATTTCTTTTAGAAATTTAAATTGTATTGCCAAATCCCTTCTTAAGGTTTCTCTTCTAAGTATTCTTACATCCTTTAATGTGCTTTTGTGAATATTCTTGCTGCTCTTTTTCTAAGCCTTTGCATTAGTTTGAAACCTTCTTAAAGTAATAAACTTACTGGATCTGTTAACATTGCTCTCAAATGTGAAGCCAGAGCCAGGAATGCCAAAGTATTGAAAACTATTCCATTGATTACACTATAAATATAGTCTCTTGATGGAAGCAGCATTACGAGGATGACTACAAAGTCAGCATAAAATACCAGGAGCCAGGTGATAACGGCACAGGCAATACCACAACCATCTCGAATAAACCACATTGTTCCTGAGGAACTGTGGCTGGGAGGTGGGACACACTTGTCCGGTTGAAGATATTCTGGTTTCCTCTCAATATCTCTGAAGCGGTGAACTGGAGTAATCATCATAGGTTATAATGCCCATTCTTGGATCTGGAAAAGGAAAAAAAAGTTCTCCACGTTATAACCAAATAAAGATTAAAACTTTCTAGCAGCAGATAATGATGGCAAGGATGATGTTAAAGAAGAATAAAATATTAGCATTCCCCATCTAAACCATGACTTGGCTTGTATTTAGCTTTTTATCATATAGATAAACATTGAAGTAGAAGACTAATCTTAATGAAATTTGAATTTCACCAGAAACGCTACAAGCACATGATATTGTTCAATCATGTATGGTAGAAGGATTTGTAATTCTTCTAATTATGGAGTAATTTGGTTTCTGGAGGCTGACAATATTAAAATTTGACAACACAGTTATATAATTAAAGTTTATACTTTAGTGTAAAAATACAAATACATTTCTTTATGAAATAAGCAGCTTTCCTCAAACTATCAACTTCAGTGAAGCTGATTAAAAAAGATACAATATGTATTTATCATTATCATAAAGAAAAATCACATAATGGACTTCAAACTCATGAGCGAGTGTCTAGCAGTTTAGTGAGCTTCACCTTGATGAATGTTTACATCAATGCCCCCAAATCATAACTTAAAGGAGATTTTAAAAAATCAAAACACAAAAAAGACAAAAAACAGAAAAAAAAAGAAAAAAAAGAAAAAAAGAACACAAGTATATATTATAAAAAAGTATATCAGCTGGTTACAACACGTTTTTGTGCATCTCTTCCATTAATTCATATTAATTCAAATATCTTAACTCAAATGTTTACCANGGATTTTGGTAAACTGGCACGAACAAAGGTACAGACTAGATACACTAGAGAAAGCAGAATTATTTTATGAACAACATATAGCAGCACAGGAGGGAGTGCTGGTAAGAGAAGAGAGATGAGCTGAATGCCAGGAAGCTAAGGGAAAAGATCAAAGGGAGATGGAGAAAGAACAGGAAGAGAAAGTGCTAAGAGAAGGAGCACGGGCCAAAGAGACAAAGGAGCAGAGGGAGCTAAAAACGACTAGATCAACTAAACCTATAAACCAATGACATGGAGGAAGAAATAAAAGTAATCTCCATTAATATAAATGGATTAAACTTGGCAATAAAAAGAAGAACATTTAACAAATTAGAGAAACTGAAATTGGGCATTATATGCTTACAGGAAGTACCTATTAGAAAGCAACACGGAAAATTTTTGGAACAGGCAAAACTAGGTAATTTATATAAGACTCTGGCTGACCAAAGCAAAAAGGGAATAGCATTATATATTAGAAAGACAATACAATCAAATAAAATTTTTGAAGATGGGGAGGGGAGAATACTGATGGTGAAAATAACAATGAACATGAGAAATACATTATTAGTGGCAATATATGCCCCAAATGACAAACAAGAATCTTTTAAGAAACTACACAAAAAGATAATAGAATGTGACTATGAAGATATATGTATATTAGGAGACTTTAATGCCATCATAAATAATGGAATAGACTATAAATCTAGAAAGATGAACAAGAAACTGAGAAAAACTCTACCCAAAACATTTTTCACGATGGTGGAAGAATTAAATTTGCAAGATATATATAGCCACCTATTAAGAACTAGGCTAGAAGAAGTGGTTAAAGATAAAATGTTAACTTGGACAAAGAATTTTCCCACACGACTGAACTAGAAAAGTGGCAACAATTATGGGAAAGGAATTATAAATTAACCATGCCAACAACTTACATAGACAAGTTATACATAATGTTTTACAGATGGCATATGTCACCGGGAAAATTGGCAAAAATCTTTAAAGACAAGTCAGTGAAATGTTGGAGCAATAGGTTCATACTATCATATGTGGTGGACATGTGCAGAAGCAAGGGAATATTGGACTAAAATAAGAGTATGGTTAAAGAAAATGTTACAACATTTAGATCAGAGATATTTTTACTAGATATTATCCCAGAGAAATTCAAGAAAGAGGATATTTATTTGATTATACATGTGACTACAGCAGCTAGAATTGTATTTGTCAAAAATTGGAAATTAAATAAGCTCCGAACAGATGAAGAGATAATAAAAAAGATACAGTTAAAGTTTTGATTATTAGGGGGAAATGTTATGATACAGGATATAGTCAAATAAAGGAGGGATAAGAATAA